TTTTCAGTACAAATCGGCAATTTCATACTTTAACCCCTATTATTTTTGGCTAACTTGCTTGTATGTACCATCTATTTAATGTTTAGAAAAGGCAGTGTGATATGCAAAATGTGTAGATGGGTTCCTAGACGTACACCTGATAATATAACTTTAATCTGTTGTATCATAAACAAAGAAGCGACTATTTTTAAATAGTTCTCTAGTGACTAATTTACAACTTTTTTTTCGGTGCATTCTGGTTTAAGCTAGGAGTTATGGTTCTCGGGGTGGTCCCCTAATTCGCCAGAATAAGCTTATTTCAGCATGGACAGTAAAAACATCCTTCTAACTTTAAAATAGCGCAACATCTAAATCTAGCTTTTACAAAGTTTCAAAATTATGATTACTATTATTTAGGAGTACAATAAATTGTTGAGTGGGATATCACATGAGAGGGCGTAACACGGGTTTACTTTATACATTTAGACACATATTTAATTTATTTTTGTTGCAGTTTTCATAAAAATATTTAAAAAATGACGGTTCCTTTCTGCGTATACTTAGAAATGAAGCGAAACAAAGGAGAAAAAATTAAAGGTTACCTTATTATTGATCAACCAGTAAAAATAGACATACAAGATGAAGTTTTATTACTCATACCAGGCAATTTTCGATTGTGCAAGGCATAGGTAACTTCAAGTGGCTTAATGGAAGTCATTGAAAATCCAAAAATATTTAGCAGAGCCTTACACCACTCCAAGCAACCCACACTACTTATACGGAATATGTACAGATTTGGCTAATTCCATGACTGGAATGTTACATCAATTTATACATCTAAAACTAGACACTTAAAAATAGGCACATACTTCCACATGTAGTTATAAAATATATATAATATGTACATTGAATTCATTTTAAATCTCACAATTTTAGTTACCTCCACTACATCCACAAATTTTACTTATTATGAAACATTCATTATTATCTTAATCTTAACTCCACCCTGGAGATAGGACTTACAACATTCTCCAGTATCCACTATTGAATTATCAGTCTCAATATTTTTAAGTACCTATAGTAGCTAAATTTGGCATAGGATTTCAATCCTGTATCTTCATGTTGTTTTTTGTAACATTTTGATTCATTTGATCATTCTCATACTCTACAAAGTCATCAAAAAGGCTGGGCCAAGCTTCTGTGTCATCGTAGCTGCTGAGATCATCCCCCACAAACTCACAAAAGTTCAAGAACATGTACCATGTGTCCTTGGGGACACCTCGAATGTGAGAGTTCTTCTCTAAATAACTCAGCCACCTGTTCAAAATCGGAGGTTCATTGTTGGTAAAGACTAGACGCCACAGCACTATGGCAATGTCAGCTGGCAATATCCGTTGCCCTGAACTCACATCCAATCCAAACTTAAATGTGAATCTATACAAATCTTTGAACTGTTCAGAATCCGTTTTCAACTCGCATGTTATTTCATTCAGCTTCTGTTGTATATTTTTAATAGAATCTGTTTTCATGTTTTTCAACCCTTGTAAAAACTCTGGCCTTGTGAACCTACACATTTGACTAGCATTTAATTTCCAAGCCAGTACCAAAACCTTGAAATCATCAGGATTTAACTGTAAGTCATTGCAAAGATTTTCAATTCCTTCTGCTAATATAGCATCTTCTAATGAATCTTTGTACTGGTCATACAACTGATTAATCTTAGATTCAGATATCCTGGGCTCACTGGAGCCAAGAGATGACATAGTTCGGGGAATAGATGGCAACTTCTGATAAAATGGTTTTGGAGTTTTGTCTGAAATTCTCTGGGTATCACCTGAACAATCCCCATATGAATTTACTGTATTAGCATTCTGCAGCACGGCATTATTTTTATAGCTTACTATACTGTGCTCATTGTCCTGTAGAAGTGGTTCTTGTTGAGGATAGTCTGACACCATAATAGCAGGTACTTGATGAGTGGTGACAATTTCTGTCAGCTCTGAAAAATATAGAACCGCTATTAGTCAAAGCTAAAGGTAAATAAATGTGGAGCAACAGTCATTAAAGTAACAAAGGAACAGAATAACTCACCATCTTTTTTCCTATGAGAAGACGTTGAGATATCAGCATTAGCTTGATTTTTGAAACAGCTCAAACATTGGCCCATTGGACAAAATCTGCTCAGAATACTTCACAGACATAAAAGTCGTAGTACCGCAGTTGAAAATTGTCCAACTTGACTTATTCAATTTTTCATCACTGATGCTATAAAACATAGTGATTATAAAACAGCGGATTCCAAGTCTTATTGAAGTTAGTCGATGAAAATCTGTAAAAGATATACCAGCTATTACGTAGGAAAGTATACTTTAAATTTTACAACCAGGGATAAATCTATGAAAATACAAAACTTACGAGGAAGTCATAACATTTCCATCACTTGTACCGTTATAAAACAGTGGTCAGGTGTAAACTGGATAAATTAGCAAGGGAAAGCTTAATTTCACCATAATAACTAGTAAGAAACCGTTTTTTAATCCAACAAGCACACAGATATTGAAAAATTAGAATGTAAATGTAAACCAGCGATAGCAGTGAAAAATATCGAATGAATGAGTTTCATGTGAGGTGACTGGAAAAAAAAAGAGAGATTGAATGAATGAAATGTCAATATTATAGCGATAGATAATTTTCCGAAGAATTTCTATTCAAATAGTGGATTTTTTCAGGAATAATTTTATTGGAAAAATATAATTCGAAGACTTCATGTTCTACGTTTAGATTTATATTTTAATTATTTATTCTACACGAATTATAAAATAAAATTGTATTAACGTAAATGTAATTTTATTAAATCCAGCTTGACTTTTTTCACAAATTCTCAGTTCTCAACTCTAGCGTCAACTTTTGACAGGCATAACTGTCAAGTCAAATGTGGATACATATTTATTTTTATATTAAAGATAGAAAACAGGACATTGGCGAAGTCGCCATTTTTTTTGTATAATTTTTATAATAATATTAAACTACCGTACATATTTATTTTTCCTTGACACTGGCAAAATCATTGATTATTTCGATGGAGCCATAACATTTAAAAGAAGAAGAAGAAAAAATATATTTTTCAAAACGGATTTTTTTCCATAACCAAAACCAAACTACGTATGATTCATACGTTACCACGTTTACACGTTGGTTACATAATTCTGTATTGCATTTATTTAGACTTAGCATCTAAGGATTAACTGCATGTTTTCAGTTAACACGTGAAGTAATCAACTTCCTGCAGTTTATAACAACTTCACGCATTAACTGAATGTAGTCGTTTTCGACTGCATGCAGTCGACATTAACTACAAGTAGTTATCGCCGCGAGTCTAGCTCAAGAGCTCAGTGTACAGTTGATGTCGCGATTGAAATACGGACGCTACTTCTGTTACTATAGTACTGCCGCCGCCGGCGTAATTGAAGCCGAAAACGAAAGCGTGCAACGTGGATAGTTCCACTATTGTCATGTTGCTATAGTAAGGCCTACGAACAACTCCGTTCTTCTAAACTTGGCCCCCTTTTAGATAAATATCGTTGCCTTTTTCCCATTTATATTGTTAATGGAATAAGAATTTATAATTATTACAATGAGAAGGACACCGAGAGAAGTATACAATCTGAAAGTTTTATCTTCCTTTATCCTTGCTAATGATATTAAAATATGATTAATATGTAACCTTATTATTTTTTTAATACTTAAACATATAGCAACTCTTGTGATCCCTTTTTTCCAAATCCCGCGCATTGTCCAATTTTCTCATTAGAATCCTGTTTTCCTACCTTTTAATAACTTGACATTGTCAAAAAGTTAAAGCTCTTATTACCATTACATTGAAAAAATTTGAACTCGGATTATTAAAATCATGGTTCCTTCCTAGTTCCTATCCTCTTGTACGATACGATTGGTTCCTAAATACCTTGTCACAGTTTTTTTCTTGTAAACAAACAAACTTGTTTTATAATTTTATATACAGTTTGAAGTGTGAGCCAGATTCTGCTTTATAGTTTTACAGATTTTACGAGTAAGGAAGGAAGAGGTTTGGAAATGAATATTTTATATTTTATTGCGACATATATTATTCTACTATTATGTATGTATGAGGGTAGCTCGTAATTTTTCAGCTACTTCATTATCATCCAAAAGTCTTAGGGTGTCGTGTGTGTGTGCTGTCGGTTAATTTTCAGAAATATTTGAAAAATTGGATAAATATAATTTGGAAGGCCATATTATGGCCTACGTTTAGAAATATCTTTTGAAATTTTATTTAGCGTGCATTATAAAAAAAAAACTTGTGTAGCTAAAAGCCACATAAAGAAAAACGAGATTAAGGGTTGTATTCTAGAATTCTACTCAATGCTCAAGTCAGGATTTGAGTATGGTTTAAAGCACTCGAAATCATACTCAAGTCCCTGCCATTAGGGTCGTATTTCCAGTGCTTGTGTTTCCAGTGCGTCCTGACATGAGTATGATTTCAAGCACTAGAAAAAATACTCGAGTCCTGACTTGTGCATTGTGTTGAGTTCTGGAATACGACACTTAAAATGATTTCACTATGTTCAGCGAAAAACCCTCGAACCACACACCATCACTTGTTGTGGCTTGCAACGTTTTCGTTTAATAACTTTAACTTTTGGCAGGTGTCAATGTCAAATGTGGAAAAATAAAGGAAAAACTGGAAAAATGTCCGGAAAAATATATATTTTTTCAAAATGGAATTTTTGAATGAATCGATATTACTCGTGTGTGTGTCTTAGAGGATGGAAAAAAATAAAGGAAGTGAGTACAGGGTCAAGAGCACGTCAAGCTTGACACGTAAGATTTAAATCGAACTCTATGCCGCTTACGTAAGAACGGTCCAAAGTACAAAGTGTCAAGCAGGATGTGCTCTTGACTGTACATTCTTCTCTACTTTTTCCTTTTAAAACTGTTATTTTGTCACTTGTCGCTGTCGGATAGGATAAGATCATTGATTGTCGGTCAACACGTACAGATTTGAATCGAATTGAAACAAAGACGAAGAAATTTTTATAATAAACATACGTATTATAGTATTAGGGGTTAAAGTATGAAATTGCCGTTTCGCACTGAAAAATTAAAACAATTTTTTTTAAGATTAAATATATTTGTTTAATCAAAGTTTTTTCCCTTGTTGTCTATACATTTCTGCCGTGTAATCGGAAGATCATTTAAACCTTTGCGATAGAAGTCTGGAGACCTGGACTCCACAGCTGTGTGAAGGGATTTTTGTACTGCTTCCTGGGAATTTTATTTCCATACAAAAAAAAAATCAAATTGCGGGAAAAAATGGTAGTCGGTCGGGGCGAGGTCCGACGAATATGTAGGATGATGGATAATTTATATCTGCAGGTCTTGTAGTAGTAAAACTGTTTCTCAAGCAGTGTGAGGTGTTGCGTTATCATAGAGCAATAACGGTGAAGCTGTTTTGCTGCGAGTTCCGTCGTCATTATTCAAACGCCATATGTCATATTGTGGGTATGCTAACATTGAACCATGACGTTTCGTGGTAGTTTGATACGGATCGGCTTCCATCATTACCTTCAATTCAACGTTATTTACATTTGTGACTGGTCTTCCTCGTGGTTCTTTCTTCAAGTCGTAATTTGCCGTATTGCCGGCGTTTGCCGTATTTGCGTATGCCGTATCCTCTCCAAATACAGCATTGACAGTTTCTGCTACGTTAACTCCATGTGGAAATTCGTATTCGAAAATTAGGTACTCAGATTTTCGCTGTATCTGTCTTCACGTTAAAAGCTGAATGTAAAAACAATTGAAAGTCGAACAATCAAATATCATGTTTTTTAAGTTAAGCATGTTCTACTTTTCGTGTGAAAAACGTTTCACTCTGAAATCGGACACCATACAGGTTTAATTTTAATTTAAAGTGGCCAGTAAAATAAATCGGCAATTTCATATTTAAACCCCTATTATTTGTTTGTCTCAAACACTAAAGTTGGCTTAATACTGCATGTGTTCCAATGCCGTGAAGAAAAAAAACAATTTTGAAATAGTTTGAATGCAAATCTAGCGGTTAAGATTTTGGTTGATGCTTTTTCGAATATCATAACGATTTTATCTAATAAATATTTAGAGCATTTGAAAGTAGTATTCGCAGTTTAGAAGTCATGGCGGTCATCGAAGACTATTGGAATTATCGTGTGGATATAAACAGTCTAAAGAATAAAAACTATCCTGAGTTTGAATCGCGGGTGTACTCTGTACGGGACGACATTCTAAACAGAAACTGTTTTAAGATCCAAAAATTTAGTCACAACAACGTGCACAGTCACGAAGAAGAGCTGAAATCTTTATTGGAAGAAAATAAACAATTACGAGATGAGATAGACTCCTTGCAAGAGACGCTTGCTAAACAAAAAACTCAATATGAAACCTATAAAAAAGGTATGGTTGAAGAGTAAACACTTTATAATTATTATATAAAGTTCCCTTTTATCTTTTGTGTGACCTGTGGAGCCCCTTAACAGCGACCAGCAATTGTCTATTGTGTTACCAGTAATTACAACTCGGAGCCAAGGTCAATATATTTAAATTTCTGATATAATTTCTATTTCAATAATTTTTTACCTTCACTGTCTGGAGCACATAATTTTATTTATATTACTAAGTGACAAGACGAAGAAGTCGGGCACCAGGTGGTAAGCGACACCCTTGTCTATAATATACATTTGTAGTGCCACTCCAATTTTAAATTGCAAAGATTGAGGGACACTGGCGCTGCACCCGTCACCCTGAGACCATAGGTTGACAAGTCCGATGTGCCTGTAAATTCCCCAGCACCCTTACCCTTCAAAACTGGAATGCATGAATGCTCACATTCGTGCATGACTGCAGCGGCAGCAATAGGTAAGGTAAGGTGGTAGTATTTCTCTAGGTGAACTCTTTCACAAGGAGCTCCATTGCTACTAAACATGCATGCTTGTCTAGGAGTAACTTGTATGCCCAGTAAAAGGAAACATTGGCCTAAAACATGTGTAATAGATGCATCATATATGTTCATGGCTGAATCTAGTCTTTGCTTTCACTTGAGGTTGACATTGTACTTATGAAAATCACAGTGTATTGCAAAACCCTGGTCAATAAATAATTGCCATTCTGGAGTATTATAGAGTGTTAACGCACACACTCATAGACCTGCACAGAGGAACCCTGTATCGCGGGTGCCATGGACACACATAGACATCCACAAATTAAACCTAGCTATCGAATCCGGGACCTCCATGTGGCAGACTTGTATGGTAACCGCTTGGCGGTGGAGGCTGTTAGGTGCTGTATATGTTAATCGGATCATTTGAATGAGAGTATATACTCATATCCAGATTTCTAAGGACACATCAATGCATGGGTCTCAACTGATGAACTTAGCTGGTGCGTGTGGAATCCCAATTACTAGGGTCTAGAACCATTGAAGCTTCTTATTGCTTTTGATATTAGAGGGCCTAGGAACCTAGCACAAGACTACCTTCTTAATTTTAAGAAAGTATCAGAGGCCTATCACGCAATAAATTGTCATGCAGTAAATATATTACTCAGGAGGTTTGAAGTCCGATTCAAGGTTATTTGCTGACTGTACTAGTAATAAGTGATATACAACAAAATCTGTCCACCCAAAGCTACACTCAAAATTCTTCTGCAGCGCAATTTTCGTGGAATTGAACTGTTTGCGGAGTGATGCTTGTGAAATTGACTGGGGTAATCCAGTCAATTTCATGAGCATCACTCCACACATCACTTACAGTTGTAAATGCTGTATCAATTGTTAGCAAAGTGTCTGAGTTTAACAATACATTGATGAACCTTTACGATAAACATGCACCAGAACGGCCAGTTAAAATAAAACCCCTACCTGCACCTTGGCTAGACCAGAATGTTAGGAATGCTATGAATAAAAAGCTCACAGCTAAGGCCAGATTTAAGTACAGTCCTACAGACGAGAATAAGCGCATCTATAATGAGCGTCGTAATCACTGCAATAGGTTGTGTAGGGATGGACAACGCCGACATATTCACAGTTCTTTAGAAACTGATGATCCGGCTGAAGTCTGAAAGTTTCTTAGGTCGCTGGGAGCTGGTAAGTCACGTCAAGATAGTATGCCAAAAAAATTTAAACCTTGATGCTCTTAATCATTTCTCTAATTCGGTTGCCTTCGACGGGTCGACTAAAACATCTACCTTTAAATTATCTTTCCGTGCTTCCAACTGCTGACCATCCTCTTTAAAAGAGTTCACTGATTGTGATGTTAAGAAGGGCATAGAATCTATTTCGTCCAATGCTGTTGGCAGTGACCACATTGGTCGTAAAATGTTTTTATTCATACTTAACGAGATTTTACCTGTGATCCGGTATATTCTTAATTTTTCTATCAGGGAATTTGGAAGGAAGCTCTCATTACTCCTCTCCCGAAAAAAGCCAACTCTTCTATTTTTTCTGATTTCCGACCTATTTCTATACTTCCCTTTCTATCAAAGCTGCTAGAGCGACTAGTTCATAACTAAATTACTCCTTTTCTCATACGTAACAACCTCCTTAATCCCTTTCAATCTGGCTTCCGACCAGGACACAGCACTGTGAATGCTCGTTAGGATCACTGATGACATTAGGTATGGTATGTCGCAACAGCAATTCGCTGTAATGTCATTGCTTGATTTCATCAATGCTTTCAACAACGTTGATTTTGACATTTTGATTGCACTTTTACGCACTCTTAACATATCTCCAACGGTAATCTCTTGGTTTCATAGTTACATGCATGGGCGTCGGCAATGGTTCGCATTGATGAGAGGTTCTCTTCTTGGTGTGACATCAGTGCTGGCGTTCCACAGGGCGGCGTTTTATCTCCTCTTCTCTTCTCGATCTTCATTAATTCAATTTCCCGCAGTCTTACCTCATCCTACCACCTGTATGCAGATGATTTACAAATTTACACTCACCGGCAACTTGAAAAACTGCACGAAGCATTGAGGAAATCAATAATGATCTCCGTCACCGCCGTCTTTTTCCTGTGAATTATATTATTATATTATATAAGCAGAAATCGCTTAAAGCGATAAGACCGCCCATTGTACCACCACTTATTTTTAATTTAATTGTATTGTATTTGTTTCCTTTTTTGGTGTACAATAAAGAATTTTTGTATTGTATTATATGGTATTGTACAACAAGTAACGAAAGGATATGTAGACATGTGAGCTACAATGCTAAAAATAGACAAAATAATGCAGTAATAAAAATTTTGATTATATGTCATTCACAGATCAAAAACTCCTAGCTAAGGAAATAAAGGACACCCATGAAGCATTTTTAATGGCAAAGAAATATTACAAAAAGTATCTGAAGATATATTATACAATTGAAGCCAGAAAAGGAGATAAGCAGACAATATTTGTGCAGTTCTTTACAGAAGTTAAAAAAGATTCAGATGTGTATTCAATGAGGTTACTATGCGACACCAAAACAGGAGTTTGTGAGTGTGAGTCTTGGTCACTATATTATATGGTTTGTGACTTTTTAAATATAATAATATAGAAGACAGAATCATTATCTTTGTTGTCCCTCCTCTGGCTCGTTCCATAGTTTTGTACCTGCTGCCATTTACAATTTTGGCTTATACAGTACTAATTTTTAAAATGCATGTCAAATTTCAAAAGCTGTTTCCCAAGTGTACATTTTACTTATATTTTTTAGTTAATAAATGTTAATGTAAGATAAACTTTTTTCCTATTACATAGTTGCCTATTTGCAGTGCCCTCTGCACAGCAGAGAATATAAAAAAATATAATGATTCACTAAATAAATGCTGCTGGATATATTATTATAATAGTTTAAAAATAATGGATTAATATAATTAATGTCTTGATTTAAAAATAAATAAAATTTTGTTCATTTTCAGTGTTGGAGACAAAGCCTAAATTAGCAACGATTATGGAGCTCAATAAAACATTACAAGAAACTAAAGACCTTCCTGGTACTCTTTATTCTATTCGGCATTCATTTATTAAAATTAAGGCAAAAAAAAATGATGAATAACATGCATGTATGCAAGAAATATAGTTTATATTAAGTTCTCATACAGACTAAAACAGAGCCTTGTTTAAAGGAATGATCTGATTTGTTTAAAGAGACCAAAATGTAATTAATTTAACTGAAATAAGACATACATTTAAAATATAGAAATATTTATTTAAACATTTAAAATACTTTAGTATATAAAACTACATTATTACAGCAACAAACTTAGGATACAATTCCATATTGAGGTAAGACACTGGCATTTTGCGCCACACGACATTTTAAATAATATTAATTGTAATTCATATCATAGATGGATTGGTTCTTACTATTATCCTATAATGAGCACATTCCACTTTTGCATTTGTTTATTGTTTCAAATAATTTCAGATTAGTTTAATGCCTTCAAATAGTGGCAACAACAAAATCTCATCTCAATCTTTTGGTTTATGACGTGTTCTGTAACAATATCCATTCCACTTTACAATATTAAAGTGGAATAGGATATACAGAGCTGACCACCACTTCAAACTAAAAATTACTATAGAAAAGACATAAGTTATGGATTCTGTCCAAAGTGGAATGTTACAATCCCAACTCCCAAGTAACATGGAGTCTCATGTACCAATGCAATAAAAAATTATCTCAGTAACCTAACTGTAATTTTTTACAGATATGTTACAATTTGTACCTCACTCTTTCATTGCACCTTAAAATATTAAACCTCAAAAATATAATGTTTCATTTTGTGCAAAACTTAGAAGTTAAATGTTAATTAAATTAATGTTAAATATTGGTATGAATTTAGAACATTGAATTTGTAACAAAAGTCTGCACGTATTTCAAAGGAAGACCACTATGAGCGCTTTTTTTGTGAATGGTTCTTTAAATTAATTTGAGAGAATAAAAGTATTGTTATTTATAACCGAGTTCTCATTCTGAGCGTAGTAATAGTTTCCGACCTGTCAACTGAACAAACCCACATTACAACTACCTACTAAAACATACAATTCTTACGGCTTTTCACAGTTTCTCATAGGACAAACAGAACAAGTAAATACTTAAAAACTATGGTACATCTGGTTCCTCTGTTGTCACATTATAATACTGCATACTAAATATATGGGGGTTAATAGATAGATTACTTCTAGAATCGTGTTTTATCATCAATAAACACGCAATTGAAATAAATCGTTTCAGTTGGCATGTCGTATCGAAGATTCCTTAGCGGCAGTTACCGGTTATAATGCGACGATAAGCTGTGTTTTGCAGTTGTTTTGGCAAGTAAATGTCTACGTTTGGAAACGGCCGCTAAATAAATTACTATATTTATAAATATTCAAATATTTATTGACTGTATCCAAATAGCGGATCTTAAAAAGGTAAAACATAATTTCTGTGTTCTGTGAGACTTAGCTGATTTGTGTTCAATAGAAAATGACCAGCTATTGGGCTTTCAGTATGATAATATAATCTCGATAGCACATGTTAGGGTATTTTTGCTGAAAAAGTCAATGGAACACGTCAGGTAGGTTACCAATAAAAAAACGGTATACATTAAACCGTCAGTAGTTATGGCACTAATTCCAAATAATAATGAGAAAATTAGGTTAGTAGTATATTGTAACATTACATAATTAATTAAATTAAAAAATCAGTACCATATAGGTGAGTTTGAATTTTTGGTTAGTACACTATTGATCCCTACAATTTAGAAATTGCATATCTTACCTACTCGTAGCTAGAAAATCAATATCTTTATATATAAAATTGCTTTATATACTTGAAATTGTGTAGTTTATAAAAAAGAAACGCCCATCGTGAGCTTTTATTTCAACACAAAATATTAACACATAATATTTTATCGTGAAGCAATTTTTTTTTTTAGATTAAAGTAAATTAAATGCAATTAGTTTGTGATATAAAACATTTAAACAAAAAGATGTAATTACTGTACATCATGATATGAATAACCTCCACATAAAGCACAAGTTTTTGTAAGATATTTAACATAAATTATTATTTTTAAAAATGTGAAGACGTCAAAAGGTTTGATTTAGAGCGGAGAGAACATATTCCGGTATGAAAGTTCTGAGAATGTGTGCCTAACTTCTCTCTCCTCTGTCTGTAATATAAGATAACCTAGCGCCATTACCTGCTGAAAATTCGGTCGCGTAACTTGGTTGCTGTCATACCCCCAATTACATTTTGTTGAAGTGCTTTTTTATGATATCAAGCGACGCGATGAACAAGTTGTGCGCCTGGTGGAAAGCGACATACCTGGTATGTCGCTTACCATCCATGACTGTTGCAGTGCCACTCAGAGCTTTATAAATCGCAAAGATCTGGGGGCCTCTGAGCCTGTCATCTTGACACATAAGTTGACATGTCCCGTGTGCCTGTAATTTCACCACCAGAAGTTATTTTAAATGACGAAAGGTTTTTAAAGTGCCGTGTTGCGTCACTCTTATAACCCTGGCAAGTAGATGTAGCGTTGCCAGTTAATTCAAATTAAGTGGTAACACATTTTTGACGTGGTAACTTGAGTTTCCTTTATTGTCCTATCACGTGTAAGCATCACAGTTGTCGAAATCTCAAACACGTAATTTTGACCATCAACACTTCAAGATAAAATCTCATTGGAAAAATGAGTGTCAAAGTTTATAGTTTATATAAATTTTCAATAGTATCAATTTTCATTGGGTGTAACGCTTGGCTAAGTTGATCTACATTGTTTACCTTTAGATATGTTTTATCTTTCGCGACTATTTATGGCGCATGTACACCAAGTCGACAGGCTACCGGTGTAAATACTGACCTACGTGTAAATATAGACCTGAGTCGTCTGAAATCCATAGTTCGAAGCCCAAGTCGACCAAAGCGACTAGGTGGTAAATGCTATGGACGACACGATCGCCTTCGGCAAGCGATGATCGACCGCACAGGTTTCAACGAGTCTGTGGCCGCGTCTCAACTGCGTTACGCGTCCTGAGCAGTGTTGCGTAGAGTAGTTTGTGGGGAATTCACGAAACGCTGGAATTTTGTGGGGATTGGAATAATGTGACATTTGTACGTTTTACCATTTTACCCCATATAATGCTGATACATAGATAGTTTGATGCTTGTTGATAAAAAACATCAATTACGATGAATATTATTGATGTATTTTTTTGCAACATCGCACATTACTCGTTTGTATAGAAACACCATAAAAGTGTGCGATAAGTTCCCAAATTGTTAAATAGTTATTTGCATATTGTATGTGTTGCCATTTGCATAGATGTGGCAAAAAACAATGACCGAATAAAAATAAATAAATATGGACTGCTTTTTTAACTTTTTTTCTCGAGATTATTATGTGGGAAATTTTTGGTTAATGAGAACTTTGTAAGCGTAGACGGCAGATGACTCGGTGTAAATGGCGAGTCGACTGCGTTGTTTTCGGTAAGGCGAAGTAGTCTGCCGAAGGCGGTAGATGATTCGGTGTAAACGGCTAGTCGATTGCGTCGCCTTCGGCAAGGTGAAGTAGTCTGCCGAGGGCGGCAGACGACCCGGTGTCAATGCGCCATTAGCCTATTAAGACTGCGTGACCGTACTATTGTATATATTTTTATTAGAAATTTGCTTTAGCTACTATATTTAACTATATTTGTGTGTAAAATTATTTAATTTTCATGTCGCCGTTCGTAACCGGTGTGTTACGTGAATAGGAAGACTTCAAGGAAGTATCAGAGTTTTCTTTGCCGCCTCGTTTCTCTGGGATCAACAACGCGCCCAGGGCTATGAAATGAAGTGAATAGTAGAATTTGCTGAAACAAATAATGATAGTAAACTGTAACGTTAACGATTAAGTTACTGCTTTAAAATTACCAAGACAAATTATGATTAATGAACATATTGATGTGTAATTAAAAATGTTGTTTTAAATTTACAAATAGTTACCCGTAAAAAGCGAGAGACGGCGTCAAATGCAGCAGCACGAAGGGCACTGTGGCGTAAGTCATGCAGACGCGCGTCGTGAGGAATGTTACCACGTCGTAGAACACTTTCTTAGGCCTGCTACCCAGGAACATCGGACGAGCAACTTTGCGGATCTATTAAATACATTTTGAAAATATGTCGGTAAGTTTATAAGATAACAGTCTTAATGGAAAAGAAAAACACTGGAGATACTTGTGTAGCTGCATCATACATCCATAACGCATGGCGCGCTGGCCTACACTGAGCTGAGTGGTACGCGCGTCGCGCTTGCTATTTACATGAGTCGATCAGGGTTGTTGCGAATTTCAGCATCCGCATCGGCGGATAATCTGCATAAAATTAAAATATCCGCATTAATAGATGCTGGTATTCATTGCGAATGTTCGAGTCGTAACATGACCTAAAAGGCACGCTGGAATAATTTACAAATATTTTGTAATTATTATGATTTAATAATAATAAAATCATTGAAAAAATGTTTTATTACAATATCAAAGAAAATAGAAAGTTTTTTCATGTAGATAGATTTCGTAAGGATGTACATTTCCCGCATTTTTTTTAAACACAAAATCAGCATCTACTGATGCGTAAAAGACCTGCATCAGAAACAACCCTGGTGTCGATCCAGTCTTGTCGCTACAACTGTTACAAACACTCCGCGAGGATGGCGCCACTGAGACGATGTACACTCGCCATAACGCTACTAGTTAAAAGTCCTAAAAATATACTTCAGTAAATAATACGTTTTCAATAAACATTTATGATTCCTGATCTAGACACGGGTTTTACTCAACAAACCAAAGATATACCAACTAAGAAGCCTCCAAAGTGGAGAGCCCGACGTGATTAAACCGCCTGAGACGTGATTGCATCTCGAAATAGCTTCACAAAGCTCGCTAAGTACATTATAAAAATCTCTAACTAGAGTTAAATAAATAGTGTTATAGGGGAAGTTGAAAATAAACATCTTTATACTTAAGCGAAATTCGATGTAGAATAAGTGTCAACAAAGGAAAACGTATGATTTTTAGAATGTTTACCTAGACTGTTTTACAGTTACTACGACAATTTCAATATTTTCCCCCGAAATTAGATTAGGCTTTGATAATACTAATCTTGAAGTCATGTTTATGACAAATTTTATTTTTAAACTTATGAAATATGGCCTAATGATTATTTGGTTTGAAGCAAATTGATAACATTCGAAGTCGAGTACTAATTCTAGTACAGAATCGGCAATTGATGCTGTATGAGATATGTAGTAATTAATATAAAATAAAATCTCACAATTTTCTTCCTTTTCATCTACTATTACTACTAACTAGCACTAAGCATTAATATATATTAAACTAAATTACTTTATTCATAAATCATACGTATCGAAGTACCTCTGTACTTTACAAACTTTATTATAATTTGGCTAGGTGAAATATTATTACTAGATAACCCGAATTACCTGCTTACCTATTTGAATTCCATTCACAATTACGCGAGCAGGGCACCAAGTCTGTTAATTTTCTTCAAACCAATGGTTATTGTCATTTCATTGAGACTCCAGTAAGAGTATATTGCAGTTATGATAATATTTGTTATTCTGTTAAAATCTAGTTCCAATAGCAGTTGATTTCAATAGAGTGTCAGAGTCTTGATCGATGTTGCCTTACTAAACCACTATGGATATTAATATGCATATATCATAATTTTCATCTTGTTAGTTTCTTCTTGAAATTAAATAGCATTTTAGTAGCTGTAGAACTCCTTGTGAAAGAGCTTGTCCAGGGAAGTACTGCCACCTTACCTATTTCTACCGCCAAGCAGTAATGGTGTCATTACTGTGTTCCGGTTGTGAAGGGTGCTGGTGAAATTACAGGCACATGGGACTTGTCAACTTATTTCTCAGGGTGACGGGCGCTTAGACTTAAAGCTCTAAGTGACACTGCAACTGTTATAGGCAGGCGTGTCGCTTACTACCAGGCGCACGACTTGTAAGTCCCGTCACTTGGTATTATAAAAAAAAATCAAATTAAATATATACTAGACTATATCAACGACTGCCATCTACTCGCCATTGAAGGAAATATCAAAAAATTGCAATGGCAGTTGAATAGTAGCTTGACGGCTAGCCACTGACAAGTCACTACTTGTTAACTTATACCAAAAACCCCACGTACAAATCTTGCCATTGGCGCTCTATTGATAGACAACTGAAATGATTCAAAATTAGCAGAGGTGACACCCAAGCCGTGGTCAGAGCCAGCTTAAATAATGAGCATGGACAAAAAATGTTCTTTACACCTGCAATAATTGGTTGCTAGCAACGCAACGTTTTGTTATGAAATATGGCCGGACTATACAAATATTAGTTTAAAAAAATCCGTTACCTTCCGAGCAGCGACTGTAAAGATACCGCCAGCGAAGAAGGTGAGGTAGTACCCGGGATGAAAGCCATGCCACACGGCGGAAAGCGCGTAGACACGCGTGGTCCTCCACGCCGCATTGCCACGCTCGTAAGCCACGCCTCGCAGCCAGGTGTTCGTGTTCTTGTTCCATGAAGCCACTGCCGTTCGGAAGTTTTGGCTGAACTGGATAAAAAACATTTTAGTATAAATCGAGTTCTTAGGTTTTCGCGATTGTTACGCATAGGAAATGAAACTATTTTTCCGGATTTAAATCGCGTATATATTTGTTTTTTCAAACAAACCGACGTTTCTGGCCCTTTACAGGTCCCATGGTCACGGTTGACTGAGGTGGTACAGTCTTCAACCAGTTATGTCTAATATTAATGCAAACCACCCTATTTTTTCACTATAGTTACAATAGTTATTAATTAAATACCTTATTTCTAATTTTACAAAGAAAACATTTCAATTTACGCTACATCAAGTTTTACAAATGATTTTATCGAATGAATTTTTATTAAATTCAATTTATTATTAATTAATAATAGAAATTGGAATAAACTAAAACATTATTATATATAAATTATAATAACATAAATTAGTATTATATAAACAATACACACGAGATTTTAAACGACCGGAATTTGAGATAAGTGTGGAAAGTGAGCAAAGGGCCAAAGCTAAGTTGCGGGTTTTTAAAGAACTAATTTCTTCTGCCAATTCACAGTGGTAGAAGAAGTGACAGGGCTAGTATTTGATGTTCACACGTTAAATACTAGTCCTCAATATATTGTCGAAATACAACGACGTCAAATAAAAAGAAAATTACATTTTTTCGATACAAATTCCTCTACATTGTGTAGTCGGGTATAAAACATTTCGACTTTTGTAACACTTTTTAGATTACGATTAGGTGTTCGTAGAATCAAGAACCTGTCTACTGTGAACTGGCAACCGGTAGTATATCAATTTTGACAACTTTACAGGATGAAGAAATAATCATTTATATAGCATCTCTATGCTCGCGGGTTTGTCCTTGCAAGTTCGGTAATCGGTAAACAGAACAAAGGGAACATTGAAGCCATTGACCTACCAACAAATGGACGACGGGTCTAATACAAAAACCACGAAAAAAATGTCCGAAGTTAACCTATACAAACGTAGTGACATGTAACGAAATATAAAAACTAAAACATTTCATTTAAATTGTAACGTCATTGCAGTACTGCCTAATTTTGCTTGCAACAATTTAACGGCTCAAAAATACCATAATATTTGGCTTCGACTGAAAATTACTTGAACACAAGAGTAATGGAGTAGCCTTTATCGTAAATATTAATTAATTTTTATATATATTATTATGTCGAATTTTGTACAAATTCACTTAAAGAAATAATAAAGAGTTGGGCAGATACATACATACTAAATATTACTACAAATGTGAAAATAAGCGTGTACTATAAGAAATGTACCGATATTCCAACTAAACGTAAACTCAAATATCCGTAATTCCGAAAACCTATTTATAATAAAATCGTTACGCTTTCGTGTAATTTTATATATTTATTTAAACACTTTATTGTACCACAAAGTAACTTACAAATTTTCAGAAACAATTTAAACATTTGTGTACAAAGGCGAGCTTATGCCATAAAGAGATTTCTTCCAAATAACCTTTGAAAATCTGAGAGGAAAGTTGGTTTTTGGGGTGGCACTAAAAATAGATAAGTAAAGAAATGGAATATACTATACTCAATAAATACACAGATAAATTTAATGAATCAAATGTACAACGAATACATATATATTAAGTAATGTTTATACATTAATACATACAAAGTCTATAATAAAATGAATGCACAAAATAAAACTATAAATAAATATATCAAATGTAAATAAATATTTCAAAAGCTCTAACATGTGGAGTTTGAACAATCCCAAAACTTCAAAAGAGCACCCTTGAAAACCCGAACCGAAGGCGACTGTCTGACCTCGACCGGGAGAAGGTTCCACATACGGGCAGCATTTACTGTGAACGAGTTCGAATATTTTTGGGAACTGTGTTGCGGGAGGACGAGGGACAAATTGGTGCCAGAACGCAGGCGGTCACCCATAGCCTGACGGTATTGAAAACGCTCACGTAGACAGCTAGGTGAAGTGGGATGGAACAGGATTTTATAGAGGAAGCATAAAATGTGAGCATTTCTACGTAAACGAATAGGCAACAACTTCAACTCATCTCTAAACTTGGAAATGTGGTCGCACTTTTTCAATCCAAACACAAATCTGATACATTGGTTTTGCAGCCGCTCCAATTTATTAAGAAGGTCCTCCGAAAGATCAAGACAGGAGACGTTATCATAGTCCAGAATAGGAAAAAGAAGAGTGCGTATGAACATAAATTTGGTAGACAGAGGAAGAAAGTACTGCATCCGCTTGAGGGAATGAAGTGATGCAAAGATTTTACGACTCACATCGGCGACATGCTCCGACCAAGAAAGTGTCTGATCCATTATGATGCCCAAATTTTTAACTGAAGTGGAAAAAGGAATAATGGTGTCATTCAAAACTAAATTGGGCATCACCATAGACTCAAACTTGGAGATGGAATGGCGACTGCCAATAATTATGGCTTGGGACTTTTGTGCAATTAAAAGAAATCTGTAGCTCTTAGCCCAAACCGAAACCGTTTGTAGATCGGAATTCAATGTGCCGATAGCAGTAACTACGGGCCTTCAAGACGGGCCGCAGTATAGATTTGAAGGTCATCGGCATAAAGATGGAAAGAAGACGTGAGTGATGATGTAATTCCACCGATAAAGACTGAATAAAGTATAGGTGATAAAACCCCACCCTGCGTTCCGCCAGCCGTAAGGCTACACCAGTCCGAGTGCATGTCACCGGTCTTTACGAGCTGGGAACGACCAAACAAATACGAACGAAACCAGGATTCGACTAAGGGAGGTAGATTTAAAGTTCTGAGCACAGCAAGAAGCAAATTAAAATAAACAGTACTGAAAGCACCGCTGAAATCCAATAATGTGAGGACAGTAACTTTTTTATTTTCTATATTGAGACGAATGTCGTCAATGATTTTCACCAGAGCAGAAACCGTGCTATGGCCCGCTCGAAAACCAGACTGCAGATGGTTGAAAATATCGTAACGTAGGAGGTGGTCAGTGAGTCGATTATGGACATAGTGCTCAAGGATTTTGGACAATACAGGAAGTATGGAGATAGCGCTGTAATGGGAGAAAGAAGAAGGATTTTATTTTTTAGGGAGAGGAATTACATGGGCTTGTTTCCATACAGTGGGAAACACACCAGTGGAAAGGGAAAAATTAAGGATACGAGTGAGGATAGAAGCTACTGGGTCCTGTATTGGAGTGATCATATCAAGACTCAAACCTTCATTACCAACAGCCTTCGTGGTGACAGACTTAAGTATTTTCAACGCATCTGCTGTCGTAACCTTCCCAAAATCAAAAGAGTCTGAAGCAAGACAAGGTGCATTGGCCAGGACAGATATTGTTCGCGATTTTATGACAGAATCTAAACATACTGGGGAAGATGCAAAGTAGTCGTTCAGCGCGTTAAGATCGACATTGAAGGGAAAGACATGACCAGCTTTACCGATACCCAATGACTTCAAATATTTCCACATCTTAGTATGCGGACAACCTTCGATAGTGGAGTGAATATGTTTACGCCTGGCGTTCCTACAGAGCTTGATGCAGCGGTTACGTAACTCGATGTAGAACCCACTATTGATTTCGGTTGGATTCTTCCGCAATCTGATACGTGCTCTGTTGCGCCTCTCCATAACCTCCTTGATATCTGACGTGAGCCAAGGAGCGGGGAAATGTTTGACTCGGACAACTTGAAGTGGAGCATGCTTGTCAAAGATGGTCAAAATAATAGAGTTAAAGTTAAAAGCTCCGCTCCAAACACTAGCTCCCAATCAGAATTCAGCACATCATCAAAAAGGGCATTTTTGTCTATTTTACCATAATTGTGGAGCATTAAGGTTTTATGTCTGCGCTTAGGTAGACGAATTTTGAAAGAAGCATAAATTAAATCGTGTGAAGAAAAAGCAGCAGCATTAAACTGTCCATGAGAATCAACCAGCTCAGGAGAAGAAGTGACGATCAGATCAAGAAGGGAAGGTTGACCATTATGCGGAAAGTGAGTGGGACACAACTCGAGGCACTTCAAATAAAGTGAGTGGAAGAGTGAAAGCAACTTCCTCGATCGGCAGTCACTCTTAACAAGGCAGGTATTGAAGTCACCCATGAGTATAATATGTTCGTAGCGGGTACGTAGCTCAGGCAGAACCGACTCTAGTTGCTCAAAGTAGTCAACTCTTAGGTGAGGACTGTAAAAAACTCCCAGTAGGGCCCTAGTGTGGTGAAGAGTGACTTCCAAAAAAAGATATTCAGGAGAGTCCGCCGACGTCGGCGAGTCACCGACTGTGCTACGATCTCGTAGTCAATGTCTCTAATGATCTTATAAAATGTTCAACAATAACAGTTTTCTTTCCCTAAGGTACTTGCGTGAAACAGAACGTAACTAGTGTCAAAAAAATTATTAAATGACATTAACTGTCAACAAGCAGAATTTTAAACTTTTAGAAGTTACGCATAAAAATAAAAAAAGTAAAAGTGGGGTGAAATGAGAAAGTAATTTTGCTGGAAATTATTGAACCAAAAGAAATGCCAACAAGAAAACGATATACATTGCTTGCGCTACGCACTGGAGCCGAAAATTCGGCATATTATTTGGATTTCGTAGCTGCAGATCTTGTGGGGCGGGTTTTACTTGGAGGCCGGTTGGAAAGATCGTGTGCTCTCGATAGCGGAGGGTTAATCGAGTCACCAACGGCAGACCTTGAGGAGCTACAATCTGTGGCTGAGTTAGATAGATTTGACGGCGGCGTCGGTTTGCAGGTCGTGAAGTCCGATAACTCTGTCATAGTTGTGATCTTCTTTTTCGTCCCATCGGTACAAACCACTACGACTTTGCCATTCATAGTCCAGCAGCCCTTTATGCCAAGTCTTTTACGGGCTTCCACAAAAACAGCATGCCTACTGGCAGTGAGGAATTCAGACAGAGTTATACCAGTGCCTTTCAAGCCACGTATAGCAGCCCATACTCTCTGGCGCAGTTGATGGTCACAGAAACGTAGAAGTGTTGGACGAGGCTTTCCCATGGCCACATTCCTCCCCAGTCCGAAGCATACGGTTAGAGAAGGCTGAGATACTTCGCTTATTCCTAAGTTGTTACAACAAATGTCTAGAGCTTTTCTCATTGTATTCTCATCTCTTACTTCAGGCACACCGTGCAAGAGCAAGGTATTCGAACGTGACCTCATGTTAAAATCATCTAATGCCTGATAGACGAATTCCAGCTGTGATCTAAGACCTGAGACGGCCGTCCATATAAAAGATTTAAAAGTATGGAACTCACTGGAAACCACTGCTGAATCTTGTCTGGGAGATGCAAGTGAAGTCTTAAATATTTCCATTTTACTTGCAAAAAGGGCAACCAGCTCGTCCATGTTACTTCTCAGCATACTGATGTCGTCCATTGCTGGTTTTGTGTGACAAAACTTGTGTGTTATTTTTTCAACAGTGAAGTGGTTTTATGTGGTGAATGTTAGCTGGTGGCGAAACTGTCAATTTCTATAATGCATTTATAGCATGTAAGTCTAAAAATTTCAAAAAATACTATTTTTAAACGTAACTAAATAGGAGTATTAGATAAAGGCGTGTTTTTCGCTTTCGCCTAACCGCGTATCTTGTTTGTATATTTTAATGCTTTTCACAAAAACAAAATTAGTTTTTATTTTGTAATCTTTCTAAAAAAATACATTTGACATTATGAAAAGTCGAGCTAACGTTATTTCGGGCAAATGTATTTTCTGACTTCTAATAGGTAATCCCAAGCCGTAAAACGAGTACAACAATATTTTATTACTTATTGCTAACGTTTAATTAAAAATCATTTTAAAAATAAGATTAAAATCAAAGCGACTCTATAATTTCTTTGTTCTAAATATTTCAATCGCTTGTGGTTCGAACAATTGAAAATGACCAAGAAGTTTATATAGAAGCTTCTTGAAATTGACTTGCTTGCTTGCTTCTTTCCATCTTTTGCGCATGCAATGTGTAGAAAAAGGACAGTTAACAATTTGATTGTTTTGTGTGCTTTTGTAATTTATATTTACGATTCATTTATATATAAATTAAATACTATAAAACTGTACAAAATAACATTTTTAAATGAGAACTATGATAACACAATATATTTGTTTAGTGAAAATATGATAGAAAACCCTGTTTTTACACTTTACTGCAGTAATTTTTACAAGTTATTATTATATGGGACTGCATGATTGATAACCGCGCTGACAGTCGAACAAACGAAGACTGTTGTGCGATTGACGCTCTGTATGTGATTTTAACGCCCTATAGATGCGGACACTTTTAAGCGCGAACCCGATCTCCATTTATTGGTAGGTCAATGATTGAAGCTTTTATTTTACAACAATAGTGCAAAGGGAACATTTTAAGAGTTTTGTTTTCTTACTGTCCTTCTCTTAGGTTTTTCAAATTTGTTTCATAGTAATGACTTTGCATATCGTGGATAGTGCAATAACGCGTTACTAGCATTGGATTAGGAGTTTCCATTTTGGGAATTTAGTGGCCAAATCAAATCCGCGTAATTCAGGGGGATCTTTTGTTATCAGTCTGTAGACAACATAAATTAATGGTGACTGTGCAATTTCAGTCTCTCACCTGTAAAATTTGGTTTCGTGCAGTTACCGGGTCTTTTACCAATAATACATACGCGGATTTGCACTATTCCCGACGATATATCATTTTCAATTTTACTATTGTTTTAAAGCGCTTAGGGCGCAATTAGTGCGTTAACATAGTATTATGTCTACACTATGACTGTTTCGTTTCTTCAATCACGAATAGAATGAATAATGATAATATTTTATTCATTGCTACGGCTAAAGGGCTGTTATTTTTTTTAAATACGAATTGCCACGTTATAATGTACATATGTAATTATTTATATCGTTTCAATCCATTGTGTACAGAAAAAGTAAAGATACAGGTCAGTTACCTGACTATAAAGTTTATTTTACAGCAACTGTGCAAAGGGAACATTATAAGATTTTTACTATACTCTTTGCATGTAGCATAGCATTTAGTTTTAAAGCGCGTAGGGCGCAGTTTGTGCGCTGACATAGTATTATGACTACGATAATGACTGTTTCGTATCTTGAAAATAGAATGAATATTGATATTCTATAATGAATATTCGTATCCTCCATGATTCATTGTTAGCGTTAAAGCGCAGTTAAATTATTTAAATACGAAGTACCACATTATAAAATACATTAGGTAAATATTGAGCATAATTAAATAAATAAACAACTAGAGACGGTAAATGGCAAAAAAGGTGTCTGGGCGTACATAAGTCCCTAATTGATTTTTTAAATACTATTGTTGTGGTAAATAGGATAAAGTTCAATTTGAATATACAGCGTCAAACCCACCCCGCTTTTGACATTGCGCAATGCATGCTTACCTCAAAACCAAAAACGTCAATGTTCGACATCTTGTCCCATTTCGGCGTGCCATCAGTGTCGTATCCGTTGAAACCCATGCCGGAATTGTTGCAAATTGCTTCGGAGAGAAGCCAAGCATGGTAATACTTGCAACGCACCACTAATGTCGAAAGGTACGCGTACCACAGAAGGTACAGAGCTGACCACGACCGGGACATCTCGGAACCAGGATCAGTTAGTTCTACAGGTACAATATACATTATTTAAAAATGGTTTTTGAAAGTGTGTGATATGATTCGCATAATATATATCAAAGACTTTATATATAAGCTTAACGTGCTCTTGACCCTGTACGAACTTAGTACTTGTACGAACGTACTTTTTACAAAACTTTGAAGATGTGGCTAATTAAAAAATGTTTTTACAGTTTAAAAGATTTTTTCAGCTACAAGCAATGTGAATAGATATTAATTAACTTAAATTAATGGATTAATAACATCGAGTATATAACCAGAAATAAAGACGAAATAGGGGCCATCTATCCCTGGCAACTCATCAGGTAAATGGGCCTTATATCACTTTTAAATATCAACTCTCGTTTGTGCTGAAATTTATTTCAATTTCATAATTAACGTATACTTTAAATATACTTTAAACATTGCACGCCCGTAGCGGATAGATTGTGAGGACTGCAATTTTGTTCATAAGACCTCAATGTTACCACAGTCAGACAATAAATGAATTCTATTCTATTGTAAAATACAGTGAGATCATAGAAAACTCATATGTTACACTTACAAATTTATGAAGTATAATAACAATAAGATTCTTAAGTCCCTGTTAAAACAAAACTGTTATGTTTTTGTGTCGCTAATTAGTTACATGTTTACAACACAAAACATGTTTGTCTTTGTAAATATTCATGGCAATAAAGCGAACGCTGTTTTTAAATGTAAAATTTGTTGACAGTTTGGCATGAGTTTCTATATATATTCTTCTATAGCGTAATAACTTTTAAATGAGGCTATCAGCGCAAAAGTGGTAAAAAGATTTTTTTTAGTCCATCATAGCAGCATTGACCTCAAAAAGAGCGTAAAGTTGCAATCTAATTTAAATGGAAACAAACTGCTACTCTTCAAAAGACCGATGTCTTATTCGCTTCTACGTTATTCGTGAATATGTCGTCGGTTAAAAGGTAAAAGGTGAGTTTTACCCACAGGCTTATAAATGGTATAAATCTGTGGGTAAAACTCACTAAGTCCCATTTTGATCAAAAAGGAGTTTTACGGTCGTATTCCAGAACTCTACTCAATGCTCAAGTCAGGACTTGAGTATGATTTAAAGCACTAAAAATCATACTCAAGTCCTTGCCATTAGGGTCGTATTTCCAGTGCTTGAAATCGTACTCAAGTCTGCTCAAATCCTGACTTGAGCATTGAGTACAGTTCTGAAATACGACCCTTAGAGTTTTTTCTACTTTTGTTCGATCGGGAAGAACATCTACGACAAATTTAGTAAGTGCGTAGTGTCCTTCACTATAAAACTGCATTTCGAAAAATGTGGATACAATAATGTTATAATCCATTTACAGGTAAAACACAAAATCTTAATTATCGCCATTAATCGATTTAGCTTTAAAGTGAGTTTTACCTTACACCGACGATATTACACACGATATATAATACATACTGTTATATAATTATATTGGTAACTATATATTTTTTATTTTAGAGTCAACAGTGCGATTTATTTATTTCTAGTGTAACGATTCATAAGTTATGAGAAAAATAAATGTAAATAGTCTATGTAATTGTGTTTCAAACACACCTTCGAAAACTGTAATGGGGTATTTTTTGGCTAGCGACAAATAAAGTACAGCAGCCGACACGGATCCAAATACTTTGTAAAACACAGCTCGTCGAGGTGAAGGCTCCGATCCGCTTAGTTTGTCCTCCTACAACAGTACATCATCAACTCCTATACGTCTCATTGCTAGTTTACGAGTTTTCTCTAAGGCCGGCCATATACAGGTGGAATCCTGTTTCGAAATTCCGTTTCGGAATTTCGGCAAAACCACACAAATCACGGACTTATCACACACATACAGTGCTATTTCGTTCCAAAGTTTTTCCGATTCGAAATTCCGTATGGTGGCTTGTGCATTTACAATTCCGCAAGGAAAAGCCGTTGCGAATGCAAGTCTTCCATAGATTTTGTAGGGCCGCAACACACAGTCGTAAATTCCGTACGTATTTTCGCTGCAAGAACATCTCTTGTTATTCCGAACGGAAATAAACATGTGTGTGATGTATATACGGAATCTCGAATTGATATTCCGAAACGGAATTCCGACTGTATGTGGCCGGCCTAAGTAGGGGGTTTTAAGCCGTTGTTCACCACGCTGACACAATGCGGGTTGAAACGTTAACATCACAAGTCTTTGAAGAGTACTGCGAACCATCATATACACACAAAGGAGGCAAGAGCTGTCTGAACTGGGTTATCACTGCTCTGCTACAATAATACACACTATCTAGTCTCAACAAATTATAAGGTTAATTGGACATTCTTTATATTTAGGTAAATGTTACCAGAAACTTAAACATACTCCAAGTAATATTAATTTTATAATATTCAATCATGACATTTTTACTACTATGATATTTATATTTTCTGGGGAAACTAGTCTGTTATTATAATTATTATTGATACAAAGATCGAACAAACATAAAGACAAAATCCTTTGATCTGCGTCTGTTGCCACGGTGAGGCAGTCATTATGAAAGAATTTTTCTTTGTATTTGTTCGACTTTTGTATCAACAATAATCCAAGCAGCTAATTAGTCCGTGAAGTTATTAATTAATAATGTAGTGTTTGATAAAAAAAAAGTGGTCAATGATACAAAGATAATGCATGGTGCGTTCTTACCCCGTCAACGCGACCGCCTTCAATAAACTTTATGTAATCTGCGTAAAAAACAACGGGTCCACACATAAGCGTTTGGAATGCCAACATGTAGGCAAAATACTCTAAAGGAGATGGCGTTTTGTCAATCCTCGCCAATTTAACACATGTGCTTTCGCTACTTGGTGTTGCATTAGTTCCTTTCTTTTCACTATAGCTGTCCTGCAGCGCATATGCTAGTGAGGTAACTCTTTGCGTTATTACCATGAGGGGACCTGAAAAAGAAAACACTTAATAGCACAGATATCTACGCTCTTATTTTAGTGAAGTCATTTCTTATGGATAAGATTTAGCATTTGAGCGCCAATTACTTTTATTGAATCATAGGAGAACAGGGTGAGCTTTACACTCTTAACCTGTAAATTGAGTAGCAGGCCTGTAATCGCTCAGGTGACCACGTAATCCAACCGTACCAAATAACCAACTTACCTACGTTACCTACCAACGTACAATTTATATTAAAAATATGTATATATTATATAAAATACATCTGTATTAAGCTGTCCTTGATGGTACAGAAAACTACAGCTTTCTGATAGATCTCAGCCAATCACAGCGGCCGTTTCAATTCGGGTTATATTTTTGCGTTCATTTGCAAATACACGCTCACATGATTAATTTTCTACAAATATATAATTTTTTAACATGGTTGCCAATAACCCGGTGAACTACCGTGTTGTGCTAAGCAAAATGAATGGCATTAAGTCCGCCGTAAGTACTGTTTAGTCTGGAATAAAGTTTAAATAAATAAAAGAAAAAATAAAAAGCATGCACTTATTTTGTTATTACGGTTTTTGTTCATTATATCTGCTCTTGGTTATTTTCTTATATTGGTATGAATGTTTGCTTTGGATTTACCAACGAAACTTAATTTAGTACTCAAAACTTTCATGGATAACGTATAAAAATTAAAATAACGATTATATTTTCATTTATTTATTATTATTAAATCGCAGTGTTTTTCATATATTATATACCATACTACATACTATGCTATATACCATGTTATGTATCTAGTACATAACTGTACAGACTTCGGAAATTCTGATTTTTTACTTTCCTACTAACCGATGGACAACCTAATCACCCTGTACAAATAAATTCGAGTACAACCTAAAGCATTATTTACTACATTATATTCTTTATTGCACCAAACAAAAACAAAAGGAATATTAATTATACAAAACGTGAGCAAATATCTCTTCCAGCCAAACATAGGCAGTGAGGGCAGAAGTAATAAGTGGGCAACAGCGCGCAAGATAGAAATAGAGAGCAATTATATTAAACTATCAGATAAATTCAATAGATACCGATGCTTCCATAAGTATTTTAAATGCATACAATCAATAAATACAATATATATTTTAAACATAGGTATACAGGGTTACAGGAAAAGTCGTGCTAGATCCGTTAAGAGCGTGGAGTACTCATCATTTCTGACTTATTTTACTACGAAACACCCTACCCTAAACTTAACCCTTTTCGAGATATTTGACTTTTATTTTTTTTATTCAAAATTGCCGATTTTTAGGCTACTAAATTTAATTTTGTTTATTTTGTGTGTCTTATTATTATAATTATTGCATTTTTACATGTGTGATAAGATGCTTTAGGACCTCAATCATTAAAATAGTGAATAAGTTAAGTCAATACGCCGTAGTAGAAAAGAGAAAGTTAAGAAATTTAAAAAAAAATTAGAAAGTTTATTTTTCTCTAAGGGATATCTAAAAAAAATATTATGGCAGTTGATCGGCAGATAAGTTATAAAATATCTACGTTTCATCAGCTATCTAACAAGGTATAACAATCTAGGGTTTTTTTTAAATGCATTGAAAAAACTTAGTTTCATAGGCGATAGTGGAGGAGAAAATTAATACTTAGCCCTAAAAAGTATAACAAAACAATAGGTAAGCATGCAAAGTATTTATTAAATCAGGTTTTCACACAACTTTTTGTTATTCTACAGTTCATGTTCAACAGGGCCGCCTCTGTTTCTAATACATTGTCGCATTCTTCTACGGAGACCAGTCTTCACTACTCCAGTGGTCAACGTTGTCCTCATTTGATTTGCTGCATCCACAATCCTTTCTTTAAACTCTTCCACAGACGAAACTGGATTTGACTCGCTGTAGACAAGACTTTTCATGCGCCCCCACACATGAAAATCCATGGGGGTTAGGTCTGGACTTCTTGCTGGCCATGGCAACGGCCCACCTCGTCCTATCCATTTGTTTGGATAATTTGTGTCCAGCCAGTCTCTGACACTTCTCCTGAAATGGGCAGGGCAGCCATCATGTTGGAACCACATGTCCCTGATCAAGTTGAGTGGCAGATCATCCAGCAAATCACTCAAGTTCTCAAAAAATTTTCGTAACTTTCCCCATTTAGATTGTCCGGGAGAAAGTAAGGTCCAATCAAATTATTGGAGATAATACCCATCCACACATTCACGCTGAATCTTCGTTGGGAACCCTTCACTCTTTTCTTATTGGGATTCCTAAGTTCTTTTGGGGCCCAGTAATGCGCGTTGTGATAATTAGTTATGCCATCTTTATCAAATTTGGATTCATCTGTCCACAAGATATTTCTTAGAAAATCTGGGTCTTCTACGTCAGCATTTAGCATAAATCTGCAGAAGTCCAACCTTCTCGCGGGGTCTCCTTCTTCAATAGTGTGTACGGGTAATGGTACGGGTATAGGCCAGCAGTATGCACTGTAAACCACACTCTCCATTGCGAAAGTCCCAGATCACGGGCAACAATATTAGTGGAAGTAGTCGGATCCGCTCGAAAGCGTTGCACTATCTCATTGTCCTGTTCTTCGTCGTCATTAATTCGTGGTCTGCCCATGTCTGTATTTCGTCTCAAAATAGAGCCAGTTTCTCGAAGTCTCAAAAACAGCCACATCCGGCACTCGACGACCGGGGAATCGAGCTATGTATTCGTTGCGAGCTTGCGCAGACACACAATCGCAGTATCCGTAACAAATAAGCATATCAGCATATTCCTCAGGTGTGTACGACGTCATCTTCAACACTTCCGTAGCACAAGTACAAATCAAAGTCCGGTTAACAAGCACAGTAGTCACAAATCGGAAAAAACAGTCCAGAATCACAGCCAAGTCAAGAAAAAGAGCAAAACGATATCACATCTACTATGTACGAAGCACAAAAGCAGACTGACAAACAAAACAATATCCCGTGATATCTCTACAATATTTTTTCTTTCATTCGCACCTACATAAACCGTCGCTTGTCTCACTCGCACGGTGCGTCTTAACTTAAGGACAATAGGCGCGGGACCGTTAGAACTGCTACCTGGAGCGTCCCAACTAGTTTTTTTTCCACGAAATGCAATACAAATCCTAGATTGTTATACCTTGTTAGATAGCTGATGAAACGTAGATATTTTATAACTTATCTGCCGATCAACTGCCATAATATTTTTTTAGATATCCCTTAGAGAAAAATAAACTTTCTAATTTTTTTTTAATTTCTTAACTTTCTCTTTTCTACTACGGCGTATTGAATTAACTTATTCACTATTTTAATGATTGAGGTCCTAAAGCATCTTATCACACATGTAAAAATGCAATAATTATAATAATAAGACACACAAAATAAACAAAATTAAATTTAGTAGCCTGAAAATCGGCAATTTTGAATAAAAAAAATAAAAGTCAAACATCTCGAAAAGGGTTAAGTTTAGGGTAGGGTGTTTCATAGTAAAATAAGTCAAAAATGATGAGTACTCCACGCCCTTAAAGGATCTAGCACGACTTTTCCTGTAACCCTGTATACAGGGTAGTCGTTATGTGTGCCCAGGCGATTATTCCGTAATACATAACACACTTAACGATTACATCCTGTATATTTACAGACATAAAATAAAGTCTTACCTGTTATATCAAGTGAATAGTCTGCAGTGTGGTATATCTGACGATGTAAATGCAGACACGACAAATATATCATAGAAGTCGCCAATATAACGCTGTAACAAAGACCATTATAAAAGACAAATACATTCAATGGCTCTCTAGGACGTCGTAATAATAATAATGTGCCAGATTCATCAATCATCACACAAATTACTCAGGCAATCTCTCAGGCAATTCCCCGTACTATACGTACCATAGATACACTGTTAATATAGAGGCAAGCACTACCCAATATACCCTGACCGGGATCAATTTAGAAAATAGTCTTTAAATTGGTTTCACATGAGATCATAGTTATGATATTGTAAAAACGGACATGTTACTTTGAAACCCTGAATTGGTGGGAGTAGTATTCATCTTTTACTTTCTTTCATGTTCTCGGTAGAAAAAATGTATCATAAAAACATGGCGAGGATGCAGTTTAATCTTATTTCTTATTAATGAGACAACATCACATTCTTTGATCCCAAAGTAAGTAACTAAAGCACTCGTGTTATGGAAATCGGAAACAACGAACAGTATCACAAACACCCAGACCCGAGACACCATATAAGTTAGTTTTTCTACATTGACCAAGTCGGGGATCGAACTCGGAACCCCACAGATGGCGACCGCGGAGCGCGTCAAACAGTGTCACGTCATACATTCATCGTAAACGTAAGGTCTTCTGTGTAAAAGAGACGATTCATACAGGAAGGTAGCCATGAATCTAATCATGTCATTCCAGTAATCTGATACATCCACCCCGCAGACCACCTTCGGTTTTCCTTGCATTTCATTGTCTCGTACTTTTATTATTAATTTTATAGTAAGCCAGTAAGTATGTACTTAGCGGATTCTTTAAACGTTCCATTATCTAGGCATCTTACTGGAAAACCGGGCAGGTGAAGATTTGTATTACGATAAAATAATGTGGTATCGCAAAAAGATGTAATACCTTTTTCAATTACGATTGCGAAATATACTGAAAAACGATAAAAACTATTGAGAAATGCATTACTGAACAATAATAATACGTATGTTCGTATAACTTGCAAATCTCTGGTCATAAAATTATTGAAGCTACGAAATTCCTGTGTGCTAAATAAAGAAATATATAACCAATAGCAAATTAGTCTTAGAACATCGCTTGTAATTCCGTTCAATACAACGAGTACATTAAAAAACAACGTGTTCACTGTATTTGCAAGTTATAAACGACGTAAATTCATTTGACTATGTTAATATAAGTCAACTATAAAAATAATACGAGGCCGTAAACCTTGCGAATCCCGCTAGGTTTATACACAATGTACTTTTTGTTTAATGTATTAAAAAAGCAATAATTCCACGGTGGAAATTTGAAATCTCGTAATGAAAAATGTCCCGTACTACAAAATATCGCTTACGACATTTCAAAATTCGCTACTTTGACGAAATTATTACCTTTATATCGACTATGGAAATTTGAAATGTCCTAAGAGACATTTTATCGTAAGGTCATTTTCCCTTAATTACACTTAATTTCCAAAAACAATACACAAGATGTCTATGAAATAGATTAATAATAACGCACACACTCATAACCCCGCACTAGAGAAACCCTACTGTATAGCGGGTGCCATGGACACACACATAGACAATCACAAATTACACCCAAACTCACGAGAGAAATAAATGTAGGCCATACAAATATTTCTCCCCGTCAGGTAATCGAACCTGGGACCTCTGCGTGGCAGTCACTAAGACGTGTAGCGAATCAAAGCAGTCGCTACAGCAAAACCGTTTAACATCTTTTTAAGACTATTTAAATGAACATTGGTAGCCAGTGAGAAGTTGTTCGACAGACAGTTCGAATATATAGTTTCACCATATATCTTCAATTTGTAACTTACATACATTTGTGAATTTTAGTGGCAATATCTAACTAACTAACAGTGATGAAACTTGCAAGGTGAAAAAGATTTACAAGCTTTGTGAAAGTGGAGGCTAAATACTTTCCTTAGAGGAGACACGTAACGGCAAAATTACATATTTTGTTTTTAACGTTAAGTCGCTAAATTCTCAGATAAAAACCGAAACTCAAAATTTTTGGCTTAATAGAATATTAAGACTATAACAAATTTTCATTCGATCATGCCTTCTGAATAATACTTACTTTCCCATGTGATGATGAGGTACCACTCTCAGCAATGTGTAGTTCAGCATTGGAAGTACAGACATGTGTATAGATTGCCTGAAAAACATTCGATATGCTAAGAAACCTTTGCAAAATGTATACATTAGAACGTAAAAGGTGGCATGTACATGACATGCAAATTGGTTAAAAAACAAATATTACGAATACAGCCTCGAAAGCTACATGTTGCCGTCTATAATATGTAGATGTAAAACAGCTGAGAAAGGCAAGTGATATTTATTGTTTCACTTGAAAACACGCAATACCAGTTAGTGTCGATGGATGTTCATTGTTGCCATTTGATAAGCGTTTGTATACTATTCCGTGTTATGATGTATCCATATTGTTTGAAAGGAAAATAATATTTTTATCAAAACATTACGCTACCTCAACCCTGCACAGCTTTTAAGACGAAAAAAAATAATAGTACGCTGTTTGATTAAAGTTTAGTTGAATAGATTACTACTAATAACAGTTTAGTGGACTATATAGTATCAGGTTATCAAAGCTTTGATAAATCAATTATGTAAACATTAGTCCCCTCTATATAATATGAAGTAGCAGTTAAAAATAGAAGCACTACTAGAGTTTCTAATTTATCTAGTATACTATACATATAAACATTGTATATAAACATTGTAAACAATGGCGTAGATAACATTCTTATCTTGCTTCAGAAGTATAATAAGAAATTATCAAAAACTGTTAAAAACATATTACTTCATATTTGGTTTCTACATGCATAGATATTAGTTTGGCGTAGGCATTTGTATCTTTATTGAGTGTCGGATGGTATGTATGACTAATACTCGTATGACGCAAATAGGAACGGTCTGATGACCAAATGAATTTATTGCTTAAGGAGGAAAAATTAATATTCACTATCAAGTTGTTAGTACTAAAAATAAAACCATAGTTACTTTAGTTTTGGTAGTGTCAAAATTATATCTAATTATATAATCAATGACAAGGTCATTATGTGAGTTTCGTTTTTTTATGCACTGCAGTTTCATACCTATTGTGTCATATATATGTGTGTATTCATATTGGACTATATATATATTATCATTGGACTGTGTTAAATAGCAGATTCAATAAACTTATTGTGTAAATATGACTGTATTTCGTTTGGTTTTTAAACAAATTAAGTATAAACCTTATCTAATACAAAATTAGAAAACTAAAAATAATTAATTTAGGGAATTTGAACTTAAATGTGAACTAAATTGAAAATATATTATTTATTGTATTAACCTTTTACATTGAAATACAACAAACAGGGATATTAATTGTTAAGCCATTAGATAAAAAAGATTATAAAAATACTGGAAAAAATTTCTACACAATTCACGTTAAGTTCCATTCGCAATATTTGAGATTACATTACTACGCAGACTGATCTATTATAACACAGTAAGACTTACTTTCCGAAGCAAAAATATCCCATAATCAGACCTATAATAAGGCACACAGAGTGTCGAAATTCGGGCGAAGCAAGTCTCAATGGTTTCCGAAACAGACGGGCCAGGCATAGTGCAGCTAATTGTGCAATCAAAAAATTAACCTAATGGAAGAAAACATAATGTTATCAATTTTGAAATGTGCTAGTTGTGAGACTACTACAAAACTTAGTATAATTCACAGAAATAATTTTGAAATGTAGTAATAAATGTTATATTTAAATAACTAAGGCCAATATTAATAAATTCATCTCACTCAAGTGTGGAATTGATATGAAGACCTTACTTAAGTCATATAAATTATCACTTGAGTGTCATTCAACAATTCCTCAAAGTACATACATTGAGAGTTGGTAAAATTTCCACATTACTTAGCGCTTAAGCTACCACTTAAGATGGTATTTAAGGCTTAATAAATAAAGTGCAAGCTCTTGGTCATATAAGATGGTAACATCCAAGATGAAAATACTTAGAACCTCTTTTAAGAGGAAACTTTGAAATGTATTTCGAGATCCTGAGTGACTTCTAAGCCATTACACACTTAATAAGACTGGGAGCTGAAAAATTTATTAAGCCATCATTTTATATCCTAGAAACGCAGTGTCTGTAATGATTTTTGTACGGTAGCAACCTAGTACCACACAATGTCTCTAACATGCAGCTGTGTTATCTTCCAACATTTAAAAATTTTAATTTATAAAAATTTTTTCACCAAAACCATTAAGAACACCATGTGTCTCTAGGACTCGAGTTTGAGGAAAATAAAAATACCTAAAATTGGTAAAACTGCATTTTTCTATAAGCTATTTAAATAATTCATGAGGAATAAACAATTCACGAGGAACAGTGCCTTGGATCTCAATTGTAAGATTTTTAGTTAGAAAAAACTGCATTGCAGTATTTATACAATACTGTGTAATAACAAATTGACTGATAAATTTCAGTACATAAAATGTTAATATACTGTTAGATAAATAATATTAACAAAATTATTTACTGGTGTCAATAATTTTAAATAATATATAAAATACTAAAAATAATGTTTTTAAATGGAACTCTACAAAGCACAAAATAAAACAGAACATGTATTTAACTATATTTTTTGTTTACTCTATCATACCTACCTCTTGGCATAAACAAGCCCTCCTACAAAATATTAGATAATGTCTACAAACTAGGTGATGCTACAAATATATAGAACCTACCTGAACGGTGGTATACTTACAAGATCTATTGGAAGACCGAGGCGGTGTGATATGAATAGGAATAATTTGCTGCCGTCGTAGTAATCATAATAAGCCGACATCCTGGACTCCGGCGTGGTATTGAATAACACAGATTATTTACTCCACCAATTCTCAGACTCGATTTATAACCAACAGTATCACTTTCACTGTCCTAAACCTGAAATATTGACATAGATTTAGCTTCGACGAACGGACAATGAATATCACTGTAGATAAATATTTATATAATGTGATTACGATTTACTATAATAACTGACATACGTATTTTTTTCTAAATATAATACCTGACCAGTCTAGGAATATATCAAATAATATATTTTGATTTTCGAATCATTTCATCCAACCGCAAATCACAACAAATTACAATCAATCATAAATTCAAACAAAATTGGCTTTGGCCTATGAACGAGAACGACGAAGAACTGACAAGTTTGACATAACCCTGAAAGTGTAGTGTTGCCAAAAAAATGCCTGACTACTTTTTTGTTTGAGGATGGAAAAAAATAAAGGAAATTGTTTGCTCGCACTTGCCGGTCACGGAGGCAGTTATTATATGTGTTCGGTTTTCGGTGTAATGAAAATTCGAGTTTGTGATAGGTTACCATACAGGGCTCTTCGGCTCTTCCGTTAGAGACTTAAAGAACATACCTCCTTATTAAAGACAAGCGGAATAACGTCATGCTGTTCTTTGACTCTGCTGACCTTCTCTGTGAGCTCCGAGTGTAATTAGTAGAGATAGCAATAAATTAACGATATCTATGTTTGAAGTCTTTGGAATAAGTTAATTACTGATCACAGTGATGAGGGGCTGTAGTATATCAAAAATAATCTAGGATGATCCCTGTTATAGTTCATAAAAGTCTACACAATATAACCTTGTAACGTCTCGTCGTGCACTAATTTACGTATTTCATAAATTATTTTTTTTTATGCTATCGCTTTTAAATATAATAGTATTTACGACTAAAAAGTCATTGAAAAAACCAAATACAAAGATACGATGCATGTACATAGAAAAATTCGTGAGGTCCGCTGGTTCGTTCCGTGACTTAGCGTATAGCGTCTGGCACGGTAAGCTAGAAGACGTCGAATCCGGCCGGATCGAAGGAATTTTTTCTGAGTGTTCGATCTTTGTATTAATAAATATAACAAACTAGTGGAGTAATTTCACAAAAAATAATTGAATATCAATTCAATAAAAATTTAAAATATAATAGTATTTGTTTAAATAAATATATTACATAATATATATAAATCTTTTACATACTGCCGGTGTGACATTGACAGTTATTCTTTTTTTAATTTACTTTTGTCACATAGAAGTCTCTTCATGTCAAGTGTGTATTTTTTTCACGATAAATCACATCCCTTTAGAACTAAATTCTCTTTGCTTAGAACTCCTTGTGAAAGAGCTCAGGGAAGTACTGCGCCAATGTGAACAATACTACATTCTGGTTTTGAAGGGGAAGAATAAAAACATTTCTCATTTATTAACAGAGCCGGAGGAGCTCTATCAAAATATAACAAGAAATCAATGTTTATTTGTGAAAGAGAGAATATTTTTTTTACAAAAATCCATTAATTTTTTACGACATCGCTGTGCAAAGGTTACTTCATTACACTGCATTTGCTAGAAATTAGGCATATTCGTACGGTTTTCGATTATTCTTATTCTATGAATTACATTGTTGAAAGAGTCTGACTGCTTTTGCACACGGAATTATTTGCATAAAGAGAGTACTCAACAAAAATCAAGAGTAGGTATATAATAAGTACTCGATGGGCTTAAGTAAAAGTATTTACTTACACGGATTTGCGTTAGCGACAGCCACATTATTTTTGTAATTTAAGTATTAAAAAAATGCAAAGTTTCATCTTGGAGGATGGAAAAAAATTAAATAGTCTAAGGGTTTCATTAATTTAAATAGTTATATTTCTAAACCATTTCATTTTAAAATATAACAATAAAAAGATTACCTATTTACCTATATATGTAATCTTTTTGTCCTAAGTTGATCATCATACAAAGGCATAGAGGCGTTAAGTAATCCAATCACTTTATCTAGTGTCAAATAATGAAAATTCGCAAAAGTACATTTTGACTTCCCATCATTTCTAGGAATGCATACAGTTGTATCTTATTTCCACTTACTTCATAATAAGGTATCGAGATACTTCCTTCTCACCTCTATCCCCAATTTTCACATTTATTGTGGCACACCAATTACAATTATGAGATTATACAAGAACATTGTTATTACAAACTTATTTATTATTATGTACATACTTAATAGTTGTTACATATTTACTAATTTTATGGTTTAATACCACTTCTATTTATTTCACTGTGAACCCTTTTGCAGTGCCTTGTTACATCATGAACAGTTTTAAATTTTTTGTCACAGATATGACAAGGGTGAATTTTTAAATTAGTATGGGTTTTCAAGTGCTTCAGGAGATATTTTTTTGAACTAAATATTTTGTTGCATACATTGCAAGAGAAAGAACCTTCTTTTGGATGTACAGAATGATTATGAATTCTCAGGTGCATAACACATTTGAAGACTTTATTACAGATTTCACATCTTTGGGCAGCTTCAGGAGGAGCATGGGTAACTTTTACATGTCTTTGCAAATGTATTTGCGACTTGAAAATCTTTGAACAGATTTCACAAGCAACTGGCTCTTGAACAGAGTGACAAATTTCTATATGGCGTTTAAGAGACGCATGGTCAGATAATTCTTTATCACATAAAGTACAAAGATTTATTCTTCTAAATTCGGAATGTTCCCTCTCATAATGCCATAACAAAGATGTATTTGTTGCAAAAAATTTATCACAATCCGAACACTTTAATTCACCAACTTTGTATTTTTTCGGTTCAGTTTTCACTCCTTGATGGACATGTTTTTCATGTCTTTGAAGAGTTTTAATAGTTTTAAAAGATTTCGAACATATTTGGCATATACAAGCCTGAGACGCATGTACATTTTGAATATGCTTCTTGTAACATGCAATTGAAGAAAGTGTACGGCCACATTCTTGGCATCTATACATTAGTCCATCACTTGGATGAGTCCAATTAATGTGCCGTTGCAGTAGCATATCATTTTTGAAAGTTTTTTTACATGTTTCACATTGCACTGAATTTTCTTCAGAAGAATGGACTTGGCGAATGTGTATTTTCAAATTGTACTTTTGTTTGAAAACTTTGTTACATATTTGGCAAGCTACACTTTCTTGTGGTTCAGGATGAGAATAAAATATATGATTACTCAACTTTTTCTTATTCATAAATGTTTTCTGACATACATTGCAAGTCACTTCATTGTTCTCAGCATGTACAGAGTTTAAGTGGGTACGCAAGTGAGATATGGATTTAAAACTACGATAGCATACTTTGCATTCAACTGCATCATCTTCCTTTGAATGTACAAATTTCAAGTGTTGTTTTAAATTTGCTCTATTTTTAAAAGTATTTTCACACTGAGGACATTTTACTCTGTTTATTTTTCCATTTTGATACACTTTCTCTGCAGTATCTTGCATTGAACTTGATGGTCCTTGTACTACTAAAGCTTGAAGATTAAATTTTGGTTGGAATTCATCTCCTTGTGTCTTTTCAGTGCCAGGAAATATGGAAACATCTTCATTGAAATCAACATCTTCAATTTTAACTTCTACTTTAATATGTTCTATCTCTGGTTCGAGTCTGGCTGTTTGGTCCATTTCGTAACTGGAAAAGAAAGTTGTCATCACTGAAGAACAAGTAAAAAAAATATGGCAAGGAACATTTGTAGGTCATTGAAGTTTCACACATTTGTGTGAGTTTTTATTTAGCACCTATTTCAAAAAGAACTATTTATATAATAAAGCAGTTTTATTTACTATGAGAGACAGAAAAAACAGTAAAAATTGTGGGCTTATGTAGTAATTTCTTCCAACCATCTTGAATACGAAACACGTAGATTTCGTGTTCACAATACGTGTTTAACTGATTTTGGAATGCGTATTAAGTAAATATTTAACAAAAATGAACTTACTCTTCTTAGTTAATTCAACTTTGTCTAAACAATGTAAAAATCGCAAATAAACTGATTAAATTGACTACGGAATACAAACCCAAACAAAAATTAGCAAAACTATGATTATTTTGGTTCTGTTACTTCTACACAAACTAATAAGGAACGAGATAGCATTGATGTATTATAGTAATAAAACATCTCCATCAAAGCTCCATGTTGCCTCCTGAACCTGAAAAAAAACACATTTTGACATTTTTGGTTTAAAGTGTTACCATTTAAATAATTGATTACCAAATGGTAAGAAAAGGTAATGATCTGCCCGTAGCATGCCACCGCGACAAACCTATTAGAATTTTATCACAATAACTAACGTGGCGAGAACCGTGACGTCACTTTTTTGTTGCACCTCGCGCACCGCAACCAAATCAATGGCCGCAAGGGCCGCGAAACAATATCGCAGTACCAAACATGGCCGCAAGGTTACAGCCATCTGTGGTTATAGCTGATTTTAGAACATTTCGACAGTTCTGCACAGAATTTTATCAACGTAACAATTAAGTGCACAAATGAGATAAAAAGAAAAAACAAAATATTTTTTGGTATATACGGAGACGTATACATAGGTCAGTAGTTGGCCTGTCTCTAATTCAGTGTAAACGGGAGTTGATATTTATAAGAGGACTCTAAAACTAAACTTCGACACACGCGACTCCGACAACATGTTACATCGACATGATTTTACTCAGACATTACGTTACTCCGACAATAAGTTACTTGGACATTATTTTACTCAGACACTATGCTACTCCGACAATATGTTACTTGGACATTATTTTACTCAGACACTATGCTACTCCGACAACAGGTTACATCGACATGATTTTACTCAGACACTACGCTACATCGACAACACAGACGAGGTGTTTATTAAAAAAAATCTTTGTACTCTTGTACAAATTGTGACAAACAAAATTAAGCAATACTGCAATGACTTTACAGTTTAAATTAAATTACATTATTTCTATACACGTCACTACGTTTGTAGAGGTTAACTCCGGTCAAGCTTGTCATTGGCTCCAACGCTGACTGAAAAAAAACTCCGGACATTTTTTCGCGGTTTTTGGATTAGACTTTGGATTGTATTTATTGTTATCCATTTATTGGTAAGACAATGGGCAATCTCCTCTAGCAAATACAAGTAAAACAATACCAATTTTACACTACACACAAAATTGGAAAAATAAATCCACTACATCCAGTCTATCCAAGGGAGGAATTACATTTTTCATATACATAATCAACCAGTAGGTGCGTATCACATATCGACACCGTCACGTCGATAACTTTCTGTCTCTAGTATATTCATAAGAACCGATTTATTTTTATAGGCCTATTCTGTGTACGGACATGACATGAATTTGTGTTTTATTTATTTATTTAAACACTTTATTGTACCACAAGTAACTTACAAATTTTCATAAACAATTTAAATATTTGTGTATAAAGGCGAGCTTATCCCATAAAGAGATTTCTTCCAACTAACCTTTGAAAATCTGAGAGGAAAGTTGGTTTTTGGGGTGGCACTAAAAATAGATAAGTAAAGAAATGGAATATACTATACTCAATAAATACACAGATATATTTAATAAATCAAATGTACATACGAATACATATATATTAAGTAATGTTTATACATTAATACATACAAAGTCTATAATAAAATGAATGCACAAATAAAACTATAAGTAAATATATCAAATGTAAATAAATATTTCAAAAGCTCTAACATGTGGAGTTTGAACAATCCCAAAACTTCAAAAGAGCACCCTTGAAAATCCGAAACGAAGGCGACTGTCTGACCTCGACCGGGAGAAGGTTCCACATACGGGCAGCATTTACTGTGAACGAGTTCGAATATTTTTGGGAACTGTGTTGTGGAAGGACGAGGGACAAATTGGTGCCAGAACGCAAGCGGTCACCCATAGCCTGACGGCATTGAAAACGCTCACGTAGATAGCTAGGTGAAGAGGGATGGAACAGGATTTTATAGAGGAAGCATAAAATGTGAGCATTTCTACGTAAACGAATAGGCAACAACTTCAACTCATCTCTAAACTTGGAAATGTGGTCGTACTTTTTCAATCCACACACAAATCTGATACATTGATTTTGCAGCCGCTCCAATTTATTAAGAAGGTCCTCCGAAAGATCAAGATAGGTGACGTCACCATAGTCCAGAATAGGAAAAAGAAGAGTGCGTATGAGCATACATTTGGTAGACAGAGGAAGAAAGTACTGCATCCGCTTGAGGGAATGAAGTGATGCAAAGATTTTACGACTTACATCGGCGACATGCTCCGACCAAGAAAGTGTCTGATCCATTATGATGCCCAAATTTTTAACTGAAGTGGAAAAAGGAATAATGGTGTCATTCAAAACTAAATTGGGCATCACCATAGACTCAAACTTGGAGATGGAATGGCGACTGCCAATAATTATGGCTTGGGACTTTTGTGCATTTAAAAGAAGTCCGTAGTTCTTAGCCTATACCGAAACCTTTTGTAGGTCGGAATTCAATGTTCCGATAGCAGTAACTACATCTTCAAGACGGGCTGCAGCATAGATTTGAATGTCATCGGCATAAAGATGGAAAGAAGACGTGAGTGATGATGTAATTCCACCGATAAAGACGGAGAAAAGTATAGGTGATAAAACCCCACCCTGCGGAACGTCAGCCGTGTTTTATTATTTTTTCTGTTTTATTAGTATTTGTAAAAGTAAGCTAGTGTTGTAGACTTTTGTTTGTGTGAGATCATAGTGACACAATTCAATTTTGCATTTGAGTGCACCTGTTTGCTTGTTGTACTACCCCGCCGCTCGCCCCTCAAAAAGTGGCAGAAAGTTTTGTTCCAGAAATAACGCTAATAGCGCCCCCCCGATGATCACGCCGGTGACCCCGGCTCCCGCCCTATATGCTCTAAGAGTATTATGCATCATTTTTGTTGAACGGCAACAACGCTTTTAGCCAATTTTAGAACTAAAGGATTAAGCTAACTGGTGGTTTTAAATACACGAATCTGGGAAACACAGTGCACAATGACAAAACTGCTGTTTACAGTCAAGTATTGTCGAGAAAAACTTGGTAGGTCAATGAGAGCCAAGTACTTCAAATAAATAAACTATATCTAAGTTGAAATGAACACAAAATATTTTACGTTTACGTGCTTTCACCGCGTCCATTCACTTTGAAATCCACTTTGGAAATATTCTTACTTTACTTATTACTAGAGATGCGCCGAGTACAAGTTTTACCGGGTAACCGAGTACCGAATTATACTCGGTTTATCATTTGCCGAGCCGTGTACTCCCTAAAAGTCCCATTGCTCTAGAATTAGACCGATCTGTCAATGATCTAATTATTGTCGCGAGAGCAGAGTCCTTTCCAATGATGGGCAGGGCATAAAACAATATATACAAAACTGGCACAGTAGCACGAGTGTTTTAGGAGCACCTGCAAACACTGTGTAAAGCGAGCGGGTAATGTGTATGAAGAAAAAAGGAACAGACTATTACCTGAACGCGCAGAAAGCCTTGTATTCCTACATCACAACTTGCCTTTGTTAAATTTTAAATATTAATAATGTAACCTTTCTTTTTAAATTACTAAATTGCTACAAATGGTTACAATTGTCTAGAATTTCTAGTAATAAATCTCTTTTGATTATTTTAAATATATTGTTGGTTTTACTTTATTATGTCTATAGCTGTAATGCTTTATTTTAACCGAGTACTCTTCTCATGAAATGAGTTAATCGGCCGAGTACGAGTAGTAAAAAACGACCGAGTACACCAAGTACCGAGTAGCAAACGAGTACTCGGCGCATCTCTACATATTACTTACCTCATCTTTCATCTATCTCAATAAAAATATTTATTTTAAATTTTTTAATTTATTATCGTCACAAAAAAACCAAAACAACGTGTTCGTCGACGTTGTATTACACTCCAAAATACGAAAAGTAAACTCTTTAAACGTAGTACTGACGATGCCTTATGTGACGAAGCTGACAGCACATCTTAAAGTTTAATACTGATTGATTGGTTGTATGAATTTTGAACAAGCGACGTAGAACGTATTTTTATATAGGTACCATCAACTGCACATTGTGCTTTACACTGTGTTATCGTAAGTAGCGTTCAATCTAGTTGCCGAGTGTAAAAAGAGATGTGACGTTGTTAGTACGGAGTTAACGACGTCGTGACTTACATACGAGTACCTATTGGGCCAAGGCAAAATTTTGTCTACCCAGGACGGAGCGTAACACGATCACTGGTTGCATTTTGTTCCTTCTGAGCGGGTACACTACGTATGGTAATTTTAATGATAAATGAATGGCTATATAATACCTACAAATTTACATCAACACACACTATTACAAAAAAAGTCTTTAAAATCTTGCGTCTCGTCGGTGAGGTGTGCAGTGCCGTTGAAGCGTCACCTTGCAGCCTGATCTTCAAAAAACAGAAATTTACACAATTATAACTGTAACGTTCGAACGTCCGCCAAATCGAAAGTTTTTCTTTTTGATTATATTTTTTTATAAGACATCTTCGCGAGCGCGGCAGGTATATACCAACCGTAGCGATCTTGCTACAACATGCTTCCTTTTTTTTTACGTTGGGGAAATCCTCATGAATATTTCTCTGCTGCGGAGGCAACAGAGAGATTATGTCGGACTCCTACCGACTAAAACCCCACGGTGTTCCGTCCCTGCACCTTTTGCCGGGACTACGGGAACGCTTTCGCACTCTTCCGGTCCCGACGGCGCTGGTCCTCGGTCGAGGGCCCCTTCCCGTTGGGATGGACCTGGAGAAACACCAGCCCATT